TACATTCGCTTAATTTCAGTTATGGTCAAGTTAAGAATGTTTAAACTGCATTGCACCACAGGGACAGCTAAGGTGTTTATGGCTGATATTATGTTTTACTTTTTTTTGGTTTTATAATTCAGCTCGTTTTTCAGTACCTGAAGTACACGCCTGTAGTATTCATTTCTTACCTTCTCTTTCATTTGGGTATTCTTTATTTCATCTCCTTCGCTAATCTCTAGGTACTTTTAAGCTTCATACTATTCCAGTTCCCTAATCTTTGTGACAAAATCTAAATCTATTCAGTGTGTTTCTATAATTCTCGGTTACTTGAATGTTACTTCTGCGCAGTCCGAAATCTATAACTATGTCGTCACTGATTTTGAGCTCATCTATGTAGAGTAGGTGATTGAACACTTTCTTGTTTAGTTTGTAACCATAGCTACTGTTGTTTTGCTCATGCGTAAGGGGGATTAAGGACAGACAAAACAGAAGTGGTTGGAGATGACAGTGCCTCTGGTGTGACTTATGCATAATGTGATGTTCCAAATTCCCATGCTGTATTTAAGGAAATTTACTCTCACGGGGGAGACTTTGTATATTTCCAAAGTCGTAAGGATCCAAGAGAGTGGCACACTATGAAAAGCTTTACGGTAATCAATCCACGTTGCGCTACATCTTTTCCTGAATTTTCCAGGATCATTTTGTTTATCAGTAGTTGATCTTTGCAGCCATATTAACCCCTCCTGCATCCCTACTTTTCCAGTGGAAGAATGTTGTTTGACTTCGAAGTAAGAGTAAGTACGGTTCGTCAGCACAGACGTGAGCAATTTATATATGGTGCACAAACATGTTATTAGCCTATAATTTTTCGGACCATCTGTTTCAGTCATTTTTGACAGGAGATAAGTAATACCTTCAGTGATCCATTCTGGGACTTCATTGGGATTATTTATAATCATTGAAAGAGTTTGTGCAAATTAGTTTGGATTGATAAGAAACGATAGAGCCAGAAATTAGGCACCTTGTCCTTTTCTGGTGATATTCATTTTGGGGATTTCGTTTGAGCTTGCCTTACATTATTCTATATATATTTTCCCACCCTTGCAGAGTTTTATCCAGCATTCGTTCTTTTTCAGGTTGGATCTATACTGCATTGTTGGTTTTATTCCTTTGGCCTGCTCCAAATATTCTCCGATAATTTCTGTACCTTATCAATAGATGGTGGCTTTTGACATGTATAGATGCTTTCCAATTTCCCTGTAAAATTTCTTAAGGTCCGTTTGGAATAATTTGGCGATAGAAACTACAACGCTTTTCATAGCGCCTAGTTCTCTGTGGCTTTAACTGCAGGTTCTTTTTCAGCATTTCCTTGATTGATGGGATTTCATTTAGTGATTTAATTTTATATTTCCGCTTGATCTTCTTGCACTTGTGTGTTGAGGTATTTGGGTTTCTAGTGAGCTCATCTAACATGGAAATCCCACATCTGATTTCCTTTTTCTCGCATCAGTTTTACCTTACAAGTAGGATCTCTTTGAATGTCGTTTAATTTTTTTCATTGTCTTAACCCCGCGTTTCCCAGTAGATGCAAAATCTTTTGCATATATGACATTACTTACTGATGCTTCCCAGTAGTACGTCTGTTAACAGTGTTTGCAGTGCAGCATTGTATATTTGTACAATGTGCTTATTGGACTTTGTCCATATGAATTTAAGGGAGGTTGTCCCTGTCTGACATTTGTGTGAATGTTACTCTGCTGAGTACTTGGATGATGGGGTTTTTCGCTTCGGTGATTTCACCTCTGTTGTTTTCAAGGAATTCTACTCGATAGTTGGACTCATCTTCACTGGCATCGTCTGGATAGATACGGGTTATGTCACATGTAGATTCTTTAGTTTATTTTCCTGGAAGATTATGATTTCGTATCTCATTTATTTTAGTTTTTAACTCACCCTCTGTCTACTGTCTGTTATTTCTACTTTCATCTTTTTATTTTTTGTTTGATGCGTCATTGTATTCTGTCTTATATCTAGTTTTATCTACTTCTATATTTGCGAGATTCCTGCTTAGTACGATGTCCCTGCGGACATTTCAAGCATGTTTGGGTTGAGATGTGGTCTTATTCCACTTCCTTCCGTAGTTGTCCATATTTAGTATATCTGCCCCGTGAAAAAAGATGCCATGATTTGTTGGTACTCTCCGCGTGACCATTTCCTTCGCTTTCTTTTTATTAGTTGATTTAGCATTGAGTAAATTGGTTCAAGGTTGGAAACAGTCCGAGTTTGGTGACCAGGTGTCTCTTCGTTGTTGGAAGAATTTGTTCTAGTGGTTGATTTTTCAGAGCAAAACTGGTCCCTCTCTGAGGTACCTGGGTGACGGCCGATCCGGTATGAGTATTTTTTCGTAATCACTGAGATCTGGCGTTTTCTCCTTGACCGCCAAGGCGTAATTTTGTTCAAGTTACCATCTCTAAGACGACTGTCGACCAAGACTAAAAAGTTCGTCCTGCTCATGTGACAGGGGGTTGTTATATTCAGATGTCCTTTGTTCAAGTGTTCATCATCTAGTGCTGTATTCAGAGAGTAACATTGGGATATAGGAATACTATTGAATATAATAATTCTTAACTTAGGATAAGTCGTAATGACCACTACCAGATGGAATATCATAGTTAGACATATTTTTTCATTGACTGTTATCACAAAAAAATGAATAAAACAAAGTTAAATAAAGACAAAATGATTTAAAATTAAAGTAAAGAAAAATCTAATTTTAATTGTATAAAATTTAGCACAGGTTACATTTTGAAAGGCAGGCTCTATAGAATGTCATCCGCCAAATGTTCAACTTTCATTATTTATCATTATTATTGTTGTTATTATTATTATTATTATAACAACCATTAGATTCATGCCTGATGTAGTATCAGGATATTTATTATCATTATTATTATTTGTAGTAGTAGTAGTAGTAGTAGTAGTAGTAGAAGCATAAAATCCATTAGAATCCTCATCAGTGTAGTATCAGATTACTATTATTATTATTATTATTGTTTTGAATATTAATATTATTATTGTTTTGTTTTCTGATACAATTATTCCCTGAGTTTTTCACCCAAGAGCTAAGGTAACTGATTTTTTTTCTTTTAAAATCATTTAAAAAGTTTTTAATAAGTACTCATTACAACCATCCTTTCTTTATGTGAGATTATTATCATCATTATTTTTATTATTATTATTGTTATTTTTGTTGTTGTTATTGTTGTCGGTATTATCCGCCATCAAACCTTGCATACCTTGTTGTTACAGCTATTATTATTGATTTTTTTCTCTATTTTTCTTTCCTATTTCTTCATCATATTAGCATAATATTCTAAATATATTTTATCAATATTACTACCACTAATAATAATAATAATAATAATAATAATAATAATAAATGCTCTTATGTTACACCAGGAATGACTCTAATGGCTTTTAATAATAATAATAATAATAATAATAATAATAATAATAATAATAATAATGAATCATATTCATTAATATCAATATTTATTAATTGATTACAGTTTTTTTTTGTTTTGTTTTCTTGGTCTTACTCTTATTTCTCTCTGTCATCGCCATTTCACCGTCTCCGTCGCCATCGTCGTGATTCTGGTGAAGAGAAAGAGAATGAGAAAGATGAAACAAAAGAGGACTGAAGTGAGGCTGTTGTTGCCAATGACAACCAGCCAAGAGGAGAAAGAACATAAGCTGCTTTTCGAGTGTTGTCCGGCAAAAACACTCAGGGATTAAATCCGCGAGTGTTTCATTTATGAGCTCAATATTATCGCCCACCATCCCCCAGCCTCCACTCTGCTACTTCTCCCTGCCACCACAAAATCGGCAACCAACACACGCATTCATCGACGAGAAACAAATCCCCCACCAATGTGACATCACCTTATCACCAAGCACGTTACATCACACGCACACGCGCACACGAACGGAGACCCTCCACAACTGTCATGTCGCGCGCGCACACGCACACCACGACAGGAAACAGCACTTGCATCGGCTTACACTGGAAGCTGACAACGACTACTGTTGTTAAAGCGAATGGCGTTGATCGAAAAGTTCGTAGACTGAATAGGGAAATGTTGCATACATTAAATGCAATTTGTTACAATGTTGCTAACTTTTTGTAAAAAACAGTATTTAATTAATTTCTACATATAACAGAGAACTGGAGTTAGTTGGAGGAGAGAAAAAAAAACGCTATTAACAAAATAGGAGGCAAATATTTAAGATCCCTAATGTAGATGCCCGTAGTGTCACTATTTTAAAAATAGAAGCTTAATTTAGGCACGGTTGATACGGTTTTATAGATCGCCTGATATTAGTCTTTTAAATGACATTATGGCCAGACTTTTCAGGCCTTTTGGACAAGCACTACAGAATTGCAAACAAGGGCACCTCGAGGTGGTGTAATGGTTAGCAAACTTATCTCGCTAGAACTATTACGACTGAGTAGTGAGTTCGATCCTCACTAGGTACCCCATACTTTCAGCCTTGTGCCACATCCGAGCTACGCTTGAAAAATCACTACAGAATTGCAAACAAAGTACTTCGCCAAATAACCAAAACGACATTACCTGAGGATTTTCAACAACGGCAACAACTAAAATGGATAGGGCATGTAACTCGAAGAGAAAATAATATCATAATAAAGTTGGTAACCTTCCTCACTACAAACGATTGATTTATTGATTCGTTTCTTATTGTTTATCAACCCATTGCAGATTATTTAAAGCCAGAAAATATTTTTACTTTGTAAGATTTTCGACAGTGATTATAATGATTTATTGATACAATTAATAATAATTAAACCATAGTTGAAGGGAGATGAGGTGGATTCATGCTTTTCTCAAGGTTATTTATGTCTAAGTGAATATAATGAACCTAACTGGAATTGGAACTCGCTTCTCCCGATTAAAAATTCCGAGTTGTCATCAATTACATCAGCCGCACATCCTAACTTACAACTCCTTGTATTCCCAACCGGCTAGCTATCTAGGTACTCACCAGGATCAACGTTGCTTAACTGCGGTAATCGCACGGGAACCGGCGCTCCAACGTGATATGGCCGTAAGCGGTAAATATAAGGTTACAAATGAATACTTTGATCGATAATGGAAAGACCTATAACAGTTACTGGACATAAGAAAAATTATTTCTATTCTTCTTTGTGTCGTTTCCTCTTTTGATATAGACGATCATGGCTCTCCACAATTTCCTACCTTTGTAGATCTTAATAATTGTTCATTTTTTGTCATTTCTTCTAAACCCTGTTCAGTCATCCAATTACTCAAACTCATTATGTCTGTCTTGCCTTAAATCTTTCCTGTGAGGATCAGATTTTTCAAGCACTCTCTCCTCATTATGAAATTGCAACTGTATTTTCCTGATGTTCAGTATAAATTTCCTTTTTGTTTCCATTTTCTATAAAACTTCGTTGTTGCTCACATATTCGCTCCATGGTATCGTCAGCATCCTATTGAATTATCAGATTTCTGTTGCTTCAAGTCTCTTCTTCACACGTGAGGAGATTGCCCAGCATTCAATGCCGTATAGGAAGACTGATATTACATAACAGTTCAACTATTTTATCTTTGTTTCTGTTCCTTCAGTTATCTTCTTCATCTGTGAGGGGATTATCCAGCATTCACTGCCATAAAGAGGGACTGCTATTACGTAACATTTCATTGCTCTTTTCTTTTGTTTCTGTTGCTTCAAGTCTCTTCTTCATCTGTGAGGTCCAGATTCACCCATATAAGAGGACATTTCACTGCCATATAAGAGGACTGCTATTACGTATAAAAAAAAAAAGGACTTCAGTATTCTTTTCTTTGTTTCTGTTGCTTCAAGTTTTTCTTTATCTTTGAAGAGATTGCCCAACATACACTGCCATATAGAAGGACTGATATCACGTAACAGTTTAATAGACTTTTCGTTGTTTCTAAGGAAGTGTTGTTTTTTTGTTTCTTAATACTTAGCTTTTGGAATTCATCTTTGGCTCTTCCGATGTACCTTCGGATTTCAGTACCGCGTTTTCTGTCAAAACAATTTCCAACTATTTAAATTATTGTACTTGTTTTATCTTAGTACCTCTGATTTCTAATTTACATTCTGGGCTCATCATTTTTCCTAACAACCATGCATTCCATTTTTTTGTAGTTGATGTTTAATCCTTATTTCCTGATTTCTTTACCTACTTTCTTCAGTAAAACTGACTGGTCGGTTAATGAATGTTAATATTGTTATGTTAATATTACTATATTTAAAGTTGTTTATGTATTGCTGGATACTTTATTATATAACATACTAGCAGCATGGCCCGGCGTTGCCCGTTCTTGATTCAAAAATTGTACCACTCATACAGCAATCGCTATCACTTGACTTAAAATATTTTTGCCCTTCCTCGTCTTTAAAGGAGTGTCCTTTGCTGATGTTGCTACATGCCTTACTTCTTGCCTATCTCACGCGAATTTTTTCTAAGCTCTATACTAAACATTAAACCTGTTATAGAAAAAGAACTAAACAAAATGAACACAAAACGATCAGCTTTAAAAAAGAACTCGTGACTGGAAAAACCGAATGAAAAAAGAATGTTAACAACAAATACTTTTTTACACTCGACCCGGTTCTGCGGAATCAGAATCAACGTTGAGTTTAAGCAAGCGAATGAACCAATTGGAGTAAAGTGCCATGCAGATTTAAATTTTTTCCCACTTGTGACGAATGCAGCTATCAATTTTTTTTTTTAGATGCTAGCATGCTAGTTAACCTTCGTGTCAGTCAGCTGTTGGCTCTCACGCTGGTCAATAGAATCTTCCTGCCTATTCGTGGCAGCCAGCTATTGGCTCTCATTCTGGTCAGTACAAAATGGTCGCAAACTACACGAAAACTGCCGTAGAAGCATGAAAAAATAGATTATTTCCATTATCGATGGTAATTGGTAGATGCAAAGTCGGTCTTGGTATTCCCACTAACTTGGAGCATGAGCATGTAAATTTTGGTGCAAATCCGTCGAAAATTGCGGCCGTGCATTCGTTACACACACACACACAGACACACACACACAATATCCTACCTTTTATAGATAGAGATGATTCACGTACCTCCTCTGACTTGCTCTCTCGATCTACTTTCTCTTTATTCGTATATCCCTTTTTTTTAATCATCATCATTATTTTTTCCTGTCTGTCTATTGTGCTTCTCATTATATTTTCTATTTCTGTTTGGTTTCATTTTCAATCTCTAACAATTAAATAAGCTTTTGTTTTCGAACTTTTTCTACATTTTTTTTTCAATTTACAACTATCTTTCACATCGTTAATTTTTCTTTGCAAAAGAGTTGTCCTCCCTTTGGACGCCATGTTTGATCAAACTGCAGTGAGCGATACGTAAAGCCTATTCTTTATTAATGTATTTCTCTACGGTACCAGCAAGTGATGTTCGAATCCTTGTGTAGGTACACTGTTAAAATTCTAATTTCATGCTAGATCGACGTTCAATTCAGAAAAATTGAAGATAAATACTTTTCTGAATCTATTGGCATTGCCAATAAATTACTGTGAGATTTATAAATTCTATTCCCAGCAGTATTATTACTTTCGCTAGTATAAATCCCTTTTTTATCGCCATGACAGCCAAAAATCAGAAAATAATTATATATAAAAAATAATAATTGATTGATATTAACGACAGGAAAATGAAAACATGTTCGTTGTAAAAGAAGTCAAGAAGGCTGAATATGCCAAATTGAGGATGTACATGATGTTTTCCGAGATATAGGAATTTATTGATTGGTTAGTATTTTTATGCTCTATCAACCCTTTGTGAGATATCGATCTATATTACTGAGATGAGATATTTTAATTATTTACACAATTTACATTATTCGGACTGTTGTCATATTCACAATGTTTCGGACGTTGTACGCTTCGGCCTTCTTCAGGTGATTGGAATTATCACGGTGGACAAAATAAAGGGTTCAGTTCGAAATTCCCTGAAGAAGACCGAAGCGTACAACGGTCAAAACGGTGTGAATATGACAGCAAGGATGAGGACAACTACTTTTTGGGATATTTAAAACTGAAATATACTTTCCGTTATTTATTTATTTATTTTTATTGAATTAAAACTTTTTTTTTTTTCAAAATACCAATTTTTTCAGCTACAATTCCTACAATGTAACCCATAGCAGGGGATGAGAAGATGGATTCATACTTTTCTTAAAGAAATTTGCGTATAACTAACAAGCACGAATGTATTCGAACACGGTTCTCCGTTTTCTCTTTCGGAAGCGCTATCATTTTCACCAGTCGCACATACCGGTATCATTGATGACCAAAGTGATAACTATTAGACAAAATATAAAAAGCACGCACTTATACTTACTAGCAGGAACGTCGTGTTCAACGTATTGAAGTACATTGTACACTGAGCTTAATTAAGTATATTATACATACAGCTTAACTCAGTACATTGAACAGCGATCTTAATTAACATCATTGTAATATCGAGTTTAATTAAGTACATTGTACATCGAGTATATTTAAATATATTGTACATCGAGTTTAATTAAGTACATTGTACATCGAGTATATTTAAATACATTGTACATCGAGTTTAATTAAGTATATATTACATTGAGCTTAATTAATTACATTGTACATGGAACTTAATTAATTATATTGTACATCGAGCATAATTAAGTATATTGTACACCAAGCTAATTAAGTACGTTCTACACCCAGCTAAATTAAGTAGATTGTACATCGAGTTTAATTAAATACATTATACACTTAGCTTCATTAAATACGTTGTACACCGTGCTTAATTAAGTACATTGTACATCGAACTTAATTATGTACAATTTGCAACAAACTTAATTAAGTGTATTGTACAGCTAAAATTATAAAATCGCCATTAATGTCTCTGCGCCCATTTAATAAATCATAGTGCGTCGTCATTGTCAAACCGATTCGTTACCTTCTTGTTCTACTAAACCCTTTAGAGTGTGGCCGATCATAGCTTGCCAATTGTTCCTGTCTTTTGTTATGCTAATCAAGTTTTTTTTTCATTTTGCTCTCTCTCTCTCTCTCTCTCTCTCTCTCTCTCTCTCTCTCTCTCTCTCTCTCCCCGAATCTCTGCCATTTACAAAAGCCTGTTTCTTGGGTTATTTGCTAATTTTATCACTTGCCTCCAATATGTTCACTGAGTTTCAAATTTTCAACTCCATCTTTCTCCACTATGTTTCCCAGAAATTTTCATCTGTCTCTTCCTAACGTTAATTATAAGTGTCTTTTTTTTCAGTTTTCTCTAAAATTAGTTGTTGCGCAATCTTTCTGTAGAACAACATTTATGTTATCTCGGATCTCACCTTCATCGGTGAAGTGATTGTGCATATAGATCGATGATTATTACATAACACATCCGTATTTTTTTCTTTCTGACAAAATTTTCCTATTTCTTAATACTTTGCATAACTTTTGAAAGACAGCTTTCACTAGTCCAACTCACCTTCGGATTTCGGTGCCATTTTTCCGTCCTCGTTAAAACACTACATAGATATATAATGTTTTATATTTGTTTGAATTTTATGGCTCTAATTTGTACTTCGTATCTTGGATTGTTTCTTTTGCTGATTACCATACTTTCGGTCTTCTTACATTTTAGGTTTACTCCTTTGTTTACTAGCTGTCTGCTAATAGATAAGTAATGGATAGTGGCTCTGATTGAGGAATCGGAGAGTCGAGTTCGAATTCCAGTCGGATCCATTACATTCACTTACATGCTAATACCCTTGGGAATGGTATGAATCCTCTTCTTCTCCCCCAGATATGGGTAAATAGCAGGACAGACCGGGTTCTATAGCCTTGGATGGCAACTAGTCTACTGCAGAAAGAAATGACAATCTACTGCGGAAAGAAAATCTGCCCCGTAGGTCATATATCGAAAGATACATGATCGCCTAAGCGTGTATCGCGCATGGCATATAATTGACTGACTGAACATCTCTTTCCTTCCCCTTCCCCTGGTGCCATCAAATCTCCTACATGCAGGTACGGTAAAATTGAAGTTTCT